CTGGTCAGGGCACATGCTCAGGTTGCAGAGCATGCAGGAGGCAGCCAATCAATGATTCTCTCTCACCACTGATGTTTCTATATCTCTCTCCTCTCCCTTCCTCTCTGAAAACAACAAAAATATTTTAAAGTATATTTATATATATATAACTTATTATAGTATCTTATAATACTGTGTTCCTTGAGGGAAGAGATAAATAATATCTATAACATGAAATATTCCTATAAGTTTGAAAACTTATTTTTCAACTTATTTTAATAATGGCCTGTACCTCAGTCCAGAACCCTTAAATTACTCTTGTGGTACTCTTCTCACTAACATCTTCATTCTTAGGGAGTTCAGGCCTGATTCAATATACATAGACAATAATTTATATAATTTTCCCATTATTTTGGGAATAATATGAAAAATGTTATACTAAAATATACAATAAATAGGCAAGTTCCATAATAACGCTTTTGTGCCAGATATTTTTACTGTTTCAAAACCACAAACTAGCTTTCAGATATAAATACAACATAGGGAGACAGAGGGGGAAATTAAGTTTTAAAATTTTAGAACAAAAATTTCATTAAAAAGTTGTAACATACATCTGAACATTTGCTTAAAATTTCTTTTAAAATTTCTTGGGCAAAACAATCTTTACCTGTTAATAAAATAAGGAGTTTCTAATATTTTCTCTATCCAGGGACATAACAAATTCTCCTCTATATGCTCACAAGAAAACTATGGGAGCCCTGGCCAGTGTGGCTCAGTTGGTTGGAGTGTTGTCCAATACACTGAAAGGTCACAGGTTTGATTCCCCATCAGGGCACATACTTGGTTTTGGGTTTGATCCCCTGTTGGGGTACGTGCAAGAGGCAATCGATGGATGTTTCTCTCTCACATTGATCTCTCACCCCTTTCTCTCTTTCCCTCTCTTCCTCCCTCTCTCCCTCTCCCTTCCTCTCTCTCTAGAATCAATAAAAACATATCCTCTGGTGAGGATTTTAAAAAAAAGAAAGCTATGGGAAACAAATTATAAAACCATTTGACGGTTACACTTTCAAAATAATGGAAGATATCACGTTATAGACAAATTAGACAATCTCTCAGCTGAGAAATGATTTCCTTAATCTGAAATTAAATGAGAAAATCTATTAACTCTATTAAAATACATAGCCTGTCAAATACTAGACACTCAACAAGTGGCTGCTATACTTATAAAACTGGTATGTCTTTTATTTATTTGACTTTTACTTATTTCATCTGCTTTGAAGCTTAAGAAGCATTTAGTTCAACACAATGTCCCAGGAAACAAAACCACTCCTCGGCCCAGACATTCCCTAAATCCAGAATTGGGTACAAAAATTTATAACTGGTCACAAAGGGGCCTGAGCAAGACAGTAAAGTGACTCAACAGAGTCCAACATCATCACTGTTGAAGCCATGTTAAGGACCAATCCTGCTATCTGTCCAAAATGCCCTCCTTTGTTGTATCCCAGATATCTATGTGCTCACAGCTTCTAATGGGATTGAAAAGCATGGGGGTGGGGACAGTTACCAAAGAAATAATCAAGAATTAACAATTCCTGGCTGCAAAATAAGGATCTATTTTATAAACTTCAGAAAAAAATTTTTGCTGGATTTTTCACTGACACAAACTCTCTCTTTTCATGAAGAATGCCTTTTCTGAAATTGGGGACAAGAAGTGCTGGTATGGCACGAATCCGAACAGAAACAGTGCTAACCAGTCATTCTCCTGACCCCGGAAATATAAAGTAAGCATACTCTGTGATGACTCAAAACCAGGAATAAGAAGAAAAAAAGCCTACTGTGGTATCAATACCATTTCTTCAGCACACTCAGTAGCCAGAAATCTTCAAGTTCCTAACAATCTCTAATGCTACTATTATTCCCAGTCCTTAAACCTCCGTGAACTATGTCTACGAATTTAAAAAAAAAAAAAAAGGACGCCCTAACTGGTTTGGCTCAGTGGATAGAGCGGCAGCCTGGGAATGAAGGGTCCCAGGTTCGATTCAAGTCAAGGGCATGTACTTTGGTTGCGGGCACATCCCCAGTAGGGGGTGTGCAGGAGGCAGCTGACCAATGTTTCTCTCTCATCGGTATTTCTAACTTTCTATCCCTCTCCCTTCCTCTCTGTAAAAAACCAATAAAATATATTTTTTAAAAAATAAATAAATAAAAGACTGAATTCCTCGTTTCTTATTTCCTAACCTAGGAACTTCTCACAAGAATTTTGTCAGGCCCAGATCAAAACTGAGATCACAAAACTTCACAAATACCAATTATATAGGACTTAAGCTGATTAAAAAAAACCAAAAAAACACAACAAAAACAGACTAGCATTCATTACACAGAATAGCTGTAAAGGCCATATGACAAAACAGAGTTTCCAAAGAAAACAATGAGTAAATTCTATAAAGGATCATAACATTCAACAACTTTGAACAATTGATTTTATAGGTTAGATATAGAATCATCGTATGACCCAGCAATTCCACCCTAGGTAAATAGATGGTTGGGCAAAAGTAGATTTACAGTTGTTTGTATGGAAAATAATACAATAACAAATAATAATCCTATACAACAGAAGCCTAATATGCAAATCAACTGAATGGCGGAACAACCGGTGTCTACGATGCACACTGACCCCCAGGGGGCAGACACTCAATGCAGGAGCTGCCCCCAGCCCCCAGGCCCCAGGCCAGCCAAGGCAGGTGCCAGCGGGGGCCCCCTGATCGCCCCACTGGTCACCCCACAGATCGGCCCTGATCACTGGCCAGGCCTAGGGACCCTACCCGTGCACAAATTTCATGCAACAGGCCTCTATAACAAGAATAAACTGTTTCATGTACTCACAATTGTAAACCTACTTTTGCCCACCTGTATATCCAAAGGAAATGAAAATATATGTTCACACAACTTTTACACAAATGTTCATAGCAGCTTTATTCATAATAGTCAAAAAAGCAGAAACAACTTAAACATCAACTGATGAATGGATATATAAAATGTGGTACATCTATACAATGGAATATTTTTTGGCAATAAAAAGAAACAAAGTACTACTGATACATGCTACAACTTGGATAAACCTTGAAAACCTTATGCTAAGTGAAAGAAGCCAGTCAAAAAAGACCACATATTATATGATTCTACTTATTTGAAAGTTCCAAAATAGACATTCAGACATAAAATAGATTAGTGTTTGCCTAAGGGCTGGGGGTTGGCAGGAGTGACTGCTAATGGGTCCAAGGTTTCTTTTTTGGGGTTATAAAATGTTCTAAAATTGATTGTGGTGATAGATGCACAATTCTGTGGATACACTAAAAACCACTGAATTGTATACTTTAAATGGGTGAACTGTATGATACACGAATATCTCACTAAGGCTGTTATTTAAAAAATCAATTTGTGCTCCAAGTTGAAAAGTAAAAACTATTTTTAAAAAACAGCATTATTATTAACAGTTTGCCCAGAAAATCAAGAACAGCAAAAATTCCTTATTTACTTTTTAACAAAAGTTTTAACAGTGCTTCCATTAAAGTGATTATATATTTAATCAGATCTTGCCAATTTGCTGAGACCTCATACTTCTGAACTATGCTTATTCTGATGGAAATTTACACATACATACTATATAAAAATTCATTTTAAGGATTCTCTAAAGAGCTCAGAGATTTTGAGCCATGAGAAAGAGGTGTACTATATGAAATTAAATGTAAGACAGATGTTCATTATAAAATCTTTCTTATTCAGACTGAGTATATAATCTCTCAGATAAATTAGCTAATAATGTTAATTACTAAGAGCTCTCCAAACAAATAGTGTTCTTATTAAGTGTGTGCTTTGAATCACCCATTTGTAATAAGGAACTGAGATACCGTGACATACCAATGATAAAACATAATCTTCTATGAAACAAAGAGAGGCCTTTATTAACCTGCACTTAAAAAAAAAAAAACTTTCAAAAAAATTCTTTAAAAATCACTTTACCAGACTTATTTATCAATTCTGACTGGTATTTTTCCCTCTCCATTAAAATGTTTTAAAGTAAAAGTGGTGTCAACAGGCTAACTACAAATCTTCAATGAGCATACATAATTTGAGGAAACCAAAAGACAACAAAATATTTTTCAACAGTGCTTCTTAAAAGTAGGGAGATAATATGTAAGAGGAAGTTTCTAGACTAAGTTTGTACATAAAGAAAAAAGATAGTAAAGATTATAACATGAGGCTATCAAAGACAAAACTAAGTAAAGGAGAAGACATGCGGAAAGATTCTAAGCCAATAAAATTTACATGAAAAGACCAATGTAAGGTGAAAAACAACTCTAATTTTCTAAAATTAGATATTCATTGATATTATTATAAATAACTACCAAAAGATATATAAATTTGTCAGGAAGATTTTTAATATGACTATATTTCAATATACTAAGAAAAACTTCCTCATCTGAGAAAAGTAATATGGAATAATAAAGATCTTAACAATATCATCTTATTATATTATTAAATTTGAGAAATGAGTTTCTCAATTATAAAGATACTAAAGAAACAAATATATTTTAAAATTAAACCTAATTACTAAAAACAATACAAGCTCTACTTTCTACAATAAAGATAAATTTTAAAAAGACACTAACATCAAAACAAAGTTAAATTTATAACTATATGAAAAAACTCCCCAACTAGTCATGCAAATATTTGAAATATATACATATCTTATTACCTTACTCTCTGTTGCAACTTGAAAGGGAAGTATATAAGAAATTAAAATATTATGTTGTGTGTAATAAAATGGCAATGTAGTTCAGAGTCATTTTTTTCCAGTTTCAGAGATAAGAACATTGTCTCTAAAAACCCTTAATCAATTTATGTAATTTATATATCAGAATATAAAGAAGTAGACAAATCAGAGCTACTTCAAGCAGTCTACTGATCATTACTTTCCCTTAATGGCTAAATAAAGTAATACAAAAATTTAGATGACTTACATTGTTGTTTCGGGTTTCTACAGCAGGGAACTTTCTGACTATGAATTTCACAGCAGATTCCAGATTTTTGTCAATAAGGTAGGATGGCTTTGCCTTGGGGTCTCCGCATGCCTATAAAACAACAGTAATTTAAAAAGTGAAGTGCATCCTTCTAAAACCAAGGAACAACAGTAAATCTGTAATCAGAATTTAGAGAGATATTTATTGTTTTTTGGTGAGCAGGTGATAAAATGAATAGGCAAAGTGCAGGGATTGTCACAGCTGAAATATGCAATGGGAGACAGTACAGAGATGTTCTTCTACTGAAAAAAATGCATGGAAAGTTTTAAAGCAGTTAACGCAGAACAGCAGTGAAGGAAAAAGCTCAAACCTAAAAAAAAAGAAAAAGAAAAGAAAAAGGAAAAAAGTTCTTGGTTTGAGGTAGGATTGTATTCATCTGAAGCTAATAAAATATTACAAAATTAAATATTCAGAAAAATACTGAAAATGTTTCTAAGTGTTATAAAGTAAAAGCTTGTTTACATGTCTTTCCAAAATGTTTTCCTCATTCACTTAAACAAGAGCCCTAGTTCAAAAGAACCGGAAGCTGCTAACACTGTCTTTATAGCACTAAAGTGTGTTGCCTGTTCATCTGAACATCTGAGTTACAGCAGTGTTTTCCATCATACCAGCAGCACTTCGAACAATGAATCTACATCTGTCCTATATATACCTCATAAGCACAGAACAAATGGAAATGTTTACATTTTTATCACCTCAGTAGTACAGCATTCTCTATAGTAAACTGTAAAGCATTACATAAATGTAAGGTATCATTAGAACTTTTTATCTGAACTATTAGTAATACAGAATATAACTTTCAATACTGCTTACTGTTTCATTATGTGACTATTAACTGCTTGCTAGTGAGATGTTATTTCTTAGGGAATTACTAAAACTTTAACGTTCCTATTTCACTTATTTTTATTGTATTTTTAAAAGGATGTGTTCTTTGAAAATTTGTATCACTCTACTATGTATGAGGAAATACAGTATTACAATTTAATGTTTTTTCATTGTTTACTATAGCTATGTTGTAGATTGCAGAAAGAGAAATTATGAAACATGAAACTGATCTGAAAGCGGGCAAGCGGGCAGAGGGAAGGTGAAAAGCTTTGCAAACCTTCCAAACTTGTCCTTGCTGGGGAAGCATTGTAATAAAAAGAGAGAAAATTACGTGTAAACAATGATTGTCAAACTATGACATACGTTTCAGTAGAGAACTTATGCACTGCAGACTATGAATACCAAAACAAGATTAGAACTATATGGTGCTACAATTTTAAAGGTATTCTAAGTAGCGAGCTGTAGTATACATTAGATTCATAGATGTTATACTATCCATATATATTGAAACACTGTGTAAGGACAACCACATCAGTTTCTTGGTGCTCTTTCTAAATAAACTTAAAATAATTCTAGATGGAAAAATAAAGACTACATGCAACTATAAAAATAGGAGCAAACCATTGGTGAAATTTTACATACCTTAAAAAGAAACGGTAGCCAAAAATAAGAATAAATTGTTAATTGGATGACTTGTACTTCAGCTCAAATTGAAACTATTTTTCAAATATCACCTAACTTCCTTCCAATCCAAAGTACAAAAATCAATGCAAACATTCCTATATTTTCCAAAAGGAAACAGGAATGCACTAAGAGTTCTGTTAATTCTCACACATAGATACAACAAAATTACTTTAAGATATTTTGAACTTCCTAATCTTTAACCAGACTGAAGAAAAGGCAACTATGTAAATTCCATTTCAATAGCATATTAAAATATATCTGACTTTTCCTCAGACTAGACTATCAGTTTAACATGTTATTTCTTATAAATTAACCTTCCAATTAATCCGCTTCCCCAAAATCCTATATAAAAAGGGTAATATGCAAGTAGACGGCAGAACTGAACAACCAATCAAAGTGTAATATGCTAATGATACGCTAAGGCTGCTCAACCACTCGCTAAGACGTGCACTGACCACAAGGGGGCAGACAGTCAACTGGTTGACCAGTCGCTATGATGTGCACTGACCACCAGGGGGCAGATGCTCTGACAGGTAGCTTAGCTTGCTGCTGGGGTCCAGCCAATCTATCGGGACTAAGCAAGATTGGCAGGACACGCCCTGGAGCCCTCCCACGGTCCCTCCCCAGCCCGATCCTGCACAGGTGAGGTCCCTCAGCCTGCCTGTGCCCTCTCGCAATCCAGGACCCCTCAGGGGAAGTTGGAGAGCCAGTTTCAGCCCAATCCCTCAGGCCACTCCCCTTGGGAGGATGCCAGACACAGGGCTCATGGCTGGCGAACTTTAGCAGCGCAAGCCCCTCCCACTTGGGACTGATTGGGCGCAAGCCCACAGCAGGCACAGTGGGGCCAGGATGAGCGCGAGTGGCAGGTAGGAGCTGCAGGCCCGATCCCTACCAGCCACCCAGAGGGACCCCACCCGCGTACGAATTCATGCACCGGGCCTCTAGTTAGACTATAAGAGTAACTAAGAACTACATAACTAAGAATTTGTCCCAATAATAAAAATAGCTACAGATTAGCATTTCCTTACATCAGTGATATAATGCAAATCAAGTTTCATAAACATGCCTGAGGTAGTGCCAAATTCTAAAGTGATTCCAAATTATGTTTTGTTTTTAATATGTTTTTATTGATTTTAGAGAGAGGAAGGGAAAAGAACAGAGAGATAGAAATATCATTGATTGGCTGCCTCCTGCACGCCCCCTATTGGGGATTGAGCTTGCAACCTAGGCATGTGCCCTGACTGGGAATCAAACAATCGACCTCTTGGTTCATGGGTCAATGCTCAACCACTGAACCACACCGGCTGGGCTGTGTTCAGTTTTTTAATGACATGTATTATCTTTCACATTCTAATTATGTATAAAATCAGTTATCCAGCCCTGGCCCATGTGGCTTAGTTGGTTGGAGCATCGTCCCCATACATGGAAAAGTGGACAGTTAGATTCCTGGTCAGATGTTGGGGGTCAATCCCTGGTTGGGCACATACAGAAGGCTGCTTCTCTCGCTAATCAATTTTATTTTAATCAGGTATCCATTCTAACAATATTAGTGATTATCAAATAATAAACATGATAGCCTACCATACCCACTTCCCACAATCACAAACTTTACTGTGCAAGTAACTAAATATATATATGTATATATATGAGCAGCTCTTCTGAAGTAAAATCTGAGGTATTAATAACTTACAGTTTACTTATTTTAATGGTTTATAACATCAGCACCACTTCAGGGGCTTTTTCTTAATCAATAGGTTTGGGTCAAGATCTAGATATGTGTCCAGGCAGCATGGCTCAATTGTCCTATGAATCAGGAGGTCAAGGTTCAATTCCCAGTCAGGGCACATACCTGGGTTTCGAGCCCGATCCCCGGTGTGGGGAGTGCAGGAGACAATTGATCAATAATTCTCTCTCATCATTGATGTTTTTCTCTCCCTCTCCCTTCCTTTCTGAAATCAATAAAAATATACTTTAAAGAAATAAATAAAAAGATCTAAATATGTGTATGTTTTAAAACCTTCCAAAATTATTATATTGTATATCCCTGACAATCACTGGTCTCAATTTAAAATAAAAAAATTATAATCCAAAAAGTTAAATAACTTGTCCAAAATTTTAAAAATTTATATAGAATCTAGCTCTCTCAACCCACAGAATGTACTGCAAGTATGGAAAATGATATGAAGTTTAGAGGTTTTATGCCTACAAGGAGGACATTAGACATTAATAAGGTATTTAATAACCTTGGATATTTTGTATCTATATATTCTACTGAGTAAAAGCTCTGGAATCTTAAATAATAATTGGCTACAAGGAGTTGCTTAGCTGAAGCTTGTATTCATACATCAAAAGTAACACAAATATAACTATCTTTTCCTTCCATCTCCCCCAGACTGGAATTTTTAACTCCCTTCTCAAGACTCCCACAACCACCCTTACACACTTCACTAAGATAGGGACTTCTTGGCATTGAAAGCTACATTTTAAAGTATGTTTCCCTGTATTCAGAAAGACATTCAATAAATGAAGAATAAGTGGATGAACTAAAAGAAAACCCTCAACCTTTGGAATTAATTAAAATAGCTCATCTGACTTATAAAATAGTTTTAAAGATATAGTTTTATTACTGTTCAGTATCTACAATAAGCAACTATGCAATCAGAATTAAGTATTTTCCAGTACAGGTTCTTTTACTTAAAACAAGAGCTTCCTTTGAAATTGGCACATATACACTCTACTTACAAACTAACAATTCAAGAGCTTATGAAATTTGTTAACTTATTTAACTAAAACACTTCAGTACAATATTGTGTGAAGAAATGATTAGATTTTCTCATCACTGTCAAATTAAGTAAACAACTTACCAAAGTCTAAATGTAAGTATTGCAAATTCCTAATAGGATCAAAATGAAGATTTTACTACATTTACCAATAAAGGCAATATTAAAACCAGTCAACAACAAAAAAATACATCCAGGGACTAAAAAGGAGTATTACTAATTCTGTAAAGTCCAAGACAGAAAGAAAAAGAACTACATTTCTTATATTTCACGTTGCAGGGTTTTTCAACATGAAATTATTACCATTTGACTAGAATTTAAAATGTACAATGAAAAAAGTATGTCTGAAATTTGAAAGTAAAAAGAAAACATCTCCAAGTGAGGAAATGACTGCACGTATCCTTATAATTAGGAAGATTAATGCTACTTTTAGTTTACACCTTCCTTTCTGCTTTATATGTACTCTTTGTATGTATGTACTGCTTTATACATATTTTCTTTAGTATTATTTGTATGGTTAATCCTTTCAGTTTGCATATTTTAAAATGTCAGGGATAAACTTCAGGAATAATCATTACAAAGAAAAATGTATAAATGTGAAAAGTAAATATAAAATAAATGTCCTCAAAATTTTTTAATAAATTGAATTTTAAAATTCCTAATGCTAAACTATTTTTCATTGTATACATTACAAGGCTAAACAGAAGTCTCCATTCATAATCACTCTGGCCCTAGCCAGGTAGTTCAGTTGGTTAGAGCATCCGTCCAACACATAAAGGTCGCAGGTTTTGGATCTCCAGTCAGGAGAATCAACCAATGAATGCATAAATAAATAAAACAACAAATGGATGTTTCTCTTTCTCTTTCGGGTGCACGCGCTCTCTCTCTCTCTTTCCTCACCCCACCCCCTCCTTCCTCTTTCTAAAAATCAGTAAAATAATCACTCTACTGATAGTATAAACTTAATGGTTTTTTGCATACAAATCCATACGAAGTCCATACAAATGTAGTCTACAGTATAGAAAACAGTTATTTCTGTTATATAATTACTTATTTTCTTTAAGGCTATTGAGTCTTCAAAATTTTTTATTTCCCACAAAAATTACACTAGTGACTATAAATCAAATGGTAAAAATAATTTAGAGCTCAGATTCAGGGACCAAGAAATAAAGGTGCCAATCCAAATTCTTATTTTCTAGAGTAAGAATTGAGTAAATTACTTAACTGCTGCAAATTCAATGGCTTTATATATACTTACATCACAGATATAAGGACAAATTTTAAAAAATCAAAATACTTAGCATATAGTAAGGCTTCAATAAATGGCATCTGGCATTACTTTAATTACACATTATTTTTACTGGACATAAAGAGAGGAAACTTGCCAAGCCAGCGTGGCTCAGTGGTTGAGCATCCACCCAGGAACCAAGAGGTAACCAGTTCAATTCCTAGTCAGGGCAAATACCCAGGTTAGGGGCTCTATCCCCAGTAGGGAGCGTGCATCTCATCCATGTTCTATGTCTCTATCCCCTTCCTCTCTCTCTCTAAAAAATAAAGTTTTGTGTGTGTGTGTGTGTATGTGTGTGTGTTTTAAAGAGATAGAACTACTTAATTCCGGTAACATACAAAATGTACATCTGCTAAACCTGACCCAAAATTATTACTGGAATTTTACTTAATACTAACATTGCTAGTAAATCATCAAACAAGAATATGAATTAGATTTTCAGTCATCCTAACCAGTAAGGACAAGAACTTTCAACACTGACAAACTTTGTCATCTGGGCCTCATTTTTAACAATCTGGATGTAGCTAGCTAAATATGTCCATTCCTTTAATATTCTTAAAATGTAAATATACAACCAAAAGATTAGGACCCCAATTTCATGTCTATGTAAACTGCACCATGCTTCTTTTTAAATTTTATTTTTGTAAAGAGCTTAATTTAATCATAATGTTACAAAGTACTCATGCACATGTTAGCAATTATACAAAAAAGGGTACAACTATATATGGCTTATTTTTAAAAGGGATAGGCAGACAGAGAATTTTTGAAGTCACATGTTTCTGTTCTGAGTTTTTTATAATAAACATGTGCTACTTTTGCAATTATTTTAAAATTTTTAATATTTATTTAACAATTCCACAAAGAAAACACAAAATAGATAATCTATCATTGCCACTTCAAAAACTAAAAATAATTTTTTTCTTAAGTATTTTTCAGTGATCTTTATCTCCTTAGCCTACCATCCAGAATAACAATGATCAAATCTTCATTTTTACAAGCACTTCCTTAAAAATAAAGTTACAAACAGACATAATAGGATTTGTTGTTTAAATAAATAATATATCATTTAAATTCAGATTTATGGAGGAATAATGTTTTATTCTTAGCATGTTTAAGGCTCTTGATAATGAAATCCTACTGGAAGAAAAAAATCTTATGAAGAGAAACATAACAGTGAAAGGGAGGGCTGAAGCTGGCCACCCTCCTTTCACCTTGCACTGCATCCTTCACATGCATCTTTTTTTCCTCCATTAGATAAGCAGAAACCAGCCAAGAACTTTCACTTTACACTGCTATTCTATTGATTTTCCCCCCATAAAATAAATTTATCCATAATCATGGGAAAAGGGCTGTGGGGAAAAACTGTTGCTCTAAGCGAGAAAAAAAAAGTAAATGTGTTGAAATCTGCAAAAATATTTCATTTTTTAAAAAGTTGGGATGGGTCTTTTCTGTCCTTTATAGAGTGAGGTAATAATTTAACAAGAGCAAAAATATGCAAGTATTAACTGAGACCTTTTTGGTACAGAGTTATCAAGTTCATGTTGGTGATATAGAAAAAGAGACAGAAAAAAACAAGAAAGAGTCAACAACAACAAAACAATATTTTTTAAACTCAGCAAAAAAAAAAATGTTTTCTTTTGAGATTTGGGAATGTGTTTGCTAAATAATGGTAAAATTTCAGAAAAACATGTTGCTCAAAAGATTGCTGAGACTTCTAAATAAGTGCTACCTTACACTCCTAGACATTTTATTAAACTATTTTCACATTGTTAGTCTTTTATCTTCACAAACAATCCAGTGAAGTAGGCAGAGCATTACCATCCCTTATTACAGAAAACTAAACTTAGAGCTCAAGTTACTATCTAAAATGAGCCATAACTTCTACCCTGCTACTTGACAATGAACTTGTAAAGATAACATAATCAGAGCTGGAATCGACTTTAGCATTCCTTTTACAGTTCTTTTTCTCCCATTTCATAATGAGGAGAAACGAAGCTCAGGGAAGTCATGACACCTACTCAATGTTACAGAAACAGTGACAGACTGAATACTGGAATGCAGATCTCCTAAGTTCTGGTCCAGTACTCTACCACCCATCACCAAACTGCCTGCCATGCCACATTCAGATATAAAAGTAGCCTGAAAAATATGAAAAATCACTACATAAGTGAGTGGTATTATTAGGTGTGGAAAAGGAAAGACATATTTTTAATAAAAAATAAAACTTTAACCCTAGCTGGTTTGGCTCAGTGGATAGAGCGCCAGCCTGCGGACTAAAGTGTCCCAGGTGCGATTCTGGCCAGGGGCACATGCCTGGGTTGCAGGCTCGATCCCCAGTGTGGGGCGTGCAGGAGGCAGCCGATCAATGGTTTCCTCTCATCATTGATGTTTCTACCTCTCTATCCCTTTCCCTTCCTCTCAGAAAGCAATAAAAACAAACAAAAATAATAATAAAAATAAAAAAGTCCCTTCCTCTCAGAAATCAATAAAAACAAACAAAAATAATAATAAAAATAAAAAACAAAACTTTAAGGAATTCAGAAAAAATAAAATTTAAATGTGAAAGTACCTACCACTTTCATGTCTTTTCCCTAAAATCCTCCTTTATATGTTCCTACATCCCTGATTAGACAAGTTCTCTAAAATTTCCATAACCAGTACATATTAAGATCTCAAAAATTTCACAACTGATGAATTTTTTTTTAATATGGGAAACATTTTTCAGTAACCATATTACATTCCCCCTAATGAGCATTAAAGCACATTCTTGATTATAGGTCACTGAAGTATTTTTCATATGCTCACTAAAATATTTCCATTGCACACTTGCAAACAGAGCAAAGTAATCAGATCTGATAGACAATCTAATGCACACACGCATTAATAAAAATATAACTGATTGGCAGACATGTATTATATGGTGGAAGGTTTTTTTGAGGACTGTAAGAGACTGAGATTGAAACGATAATGTGGTTTACACTGTCATAAAAATGCAGAAAGCATGAGCCTTATAAACACATGGTGAACAGATCTTACTTTTTTTATTTTTTATTTTTTTTGGCAAGATTTTTGAACAAATGTTTCAATCCTTAGCCAGTCTTATAGACACATCTACAGCTGAAAGATTCAAAATCTATCTGATGTATCTGTATGCAAAATTACATGAGTGCAAACCCAAATTTATTATTAAAACTAGAGAAAGATTATATATACATATACACACACTCACACATATATACACATATATCAGATATTGTAGTCATTCATTTCAACAAGGCCTTGAAGGTCTCATGGACCTGATAAATCCCAAAGTACTAGTAATTAAAAAATGAGTAACACTGTCCCTGCCCAGAGGGAACTCAGAATCAGACAAGGCAGACAAAATATTTTTCAACAAACTATAAATGTTAAGTGCTGAAATATATAACATTTCAGTAACTCAAAATATCTGACACTTGGATATAATGATTATATTCAACTCATCTTAAATTTTACTAGTTCAATAATACAAGAGCCTGAAGTTTCTCAAAACAGGAAGTGAAAGAAAATACGCTTTTGAGAAAAAGCAGTTAACTGAAATTATAAAAGTTCAAATGCCTAGAATTTAGTTTAATCTTATTTAACTTAGGAAAGTGGGATATGTAAAGTTAGGGTGTATTTATACTATAAAAATGTGTAATGAATGCTTTAAAAAAAAAAAAAAGGTATTTTGCCCAAATACCCAAATCACTTTTGATGTTACTCTCACTTCCTCTTCTGAAAACCATCATAACCATTTCCTATAACCACAATACCACAGGTCTAGTAACTTTTAGAAATGTTTGACTTGCTTGGTGTTTTGGGATAAAGTTCACATAGAAACCAATTTCCAAGTTTGTTAAAGAATGCAATCTCACAGAAAAGTTCAGGTAAATGCAACCTGTAAGTAAATATCTCTAAAATTAAATATTTCCACCCTACATTAATCTATAACCAAGGCTCTTTGGTCAATGCAGAGGGCTTCTTTGTAATAACACCGAGCCCCTGCCACATAAAATGTAACAAACTGGTGGGCATGTTACCCTCCCGACTGCACTGGATTTAGAGGCAGCCAATCCTTTCATCCAGGTGAGCACTGCAACAGAGCGATCCTTAGACAAAATTTATCGCCATTAAGCCAAGACCGTATTCTCCTTTAGAATTAGTGTCTGCATCTAATTGTTGAAATAATCCAGTTTTATACTTGAACCCCATGATACGAATTTCAAAAAATACATGCTTACTTCAGCAGCCCTAAGCATTGTAATCTATTGCTACGATTAAACTAAAAGGAAATATTCGTGATATATTAAAAAGCCAACAATAATGATGAAGATATGACATTAAGTACACATTGGAAACTCTAAGGATCTATAGATTCTATAGCGTACCCAAAACACTTAATTTTCTTTACCAAATTCTTTAAACTTACCGACCTTGTCTTACAAGGAAAAAGATTTGGGTTGTTTTCTCCTAAGTTATATATATACACACATACATACATATATATGTATATATGTATGTATGTGTGCATATATATGTGTATGTGTGTGTGTGTGTGTGTGTGTTATTTCGTTACATCTATTTTTCTTAACTCCAACTCAGGCTACTAGTCCTTAATGTGAGCAGCTCTGTGAAGACTTTCAACGGGCCTATCAGCCACAGCGACTGAAATTATCAGAATGTGCTCTGGATCAGTGGTAGCAGCCACATATTCACCGCTTCTATTTGCACAGAAGCCGAACTTGAAGAAATGGTGCCCGGCCTGCTAGACAGGGCGGAACACTAGGATGCGGAGCGGAGGGGAGGGAGGGAGGCGGTTATTCCGGTTCCAGTGACTCAGCCGGAGTATTTCAGGAGAGCCCTGGTCCACCCGCCTCGGCCCCACCTGCAGGAGGAGGTACCTGCTCCGCGTCCGCACGCCCTCGCGCGCTCTGCCCGGTCTGCCCGGCGACCCCCGGGGAGCCGGGAGCGCGGGGGTACGGGGGTGCGGAGCGCATCATCCCGGGGCCATTCCCTCCGCATTCCTGCACTCACACCACACACTGAGGGGCAAGCTGGCGATGGCAGGTCCCTCAGAACCTCGGCTACCGAACCCCCAAGTTTTCCTACCGTGC